AAATACAGACAAAACAATGTATTCCCTTTCTAGCATTAGCTATTAAATGAGCAGGACAGAATTCTTTCATCCATATGGAATTTTTTGATACTCTGCAGAGAGCATGTTACCATCTGTAGGCTGCCCTTGTCTGTGCATTTCTGTCTTGCCTCCATCACTGGTGGTCCAAGTGCACACACAGCAACGCCGTGCCTGGATCCTGAGGAATAAAACAGTCGAGACAACCGTGGCCAGAAAGGCTGAGCTCTAGGGATTCTGACCATGGTTAAAGGAGGGCAAACAAGGAACAAAAGCAGCCAGGGGAAGTGGTGTGTGACTGCATGCCACAGAGGCAGCACGGCTTACACCATGTACCGCTCTTTGTCTTGGCAGATCTGGGTGCGCGGATGTGGCTGTGGGCGGGACTCGGCCAAGGATGGTCAGTGTTCGACTCACACCATGTTTAGGTCTCTAGTTCTGCGTTTGTCTCCCATGTGCCTCTCTCTGCCAGCCCACAAAACWATGGCTTCCTAGGCATTTCTGTTCTCAATATGAGAGAAAAGCAATAATGTAAGCAGTATGACCATGTGCTAAATGTTTAGCTGAAGCTGTGACATCCGATATATTAGAGATCTTGCCTGTAAGCCAGAAAGAAAACATAGACTTAATAAAGAAGCTTTTAGTGATGATTGTTGTCACAAAATTAGATCAGAAAAAAAAAATTATGTAGTTTCTACCACAATGGAATCCAACATTTTATCGCTACAGGTTGCAAGGTTTCATGGCATGCAGTGCAGAATGCCTCATGGTGATGCTGAATGCATTTCATGACCTGGTTTTGGCAGCTTTTGGGACATCCTTTCTGTAGCTGAATTTGTGTGCTCTCCTTTCCTCTTCACTAGAAGCAAAGCACACACTGCAAAGCAMTGAAGTGCCATCTCATACCTCTATTACCCATCTCTGTCCAGTTGTGTTTCTTTGTCCCTCTGATGATGCAAAAGCCAAATGGAAATGTTGTAATAGCACCAGTGACTTCTGTGTATTTACACTTGTTGCAAATTATCAGCTAAAGATTACACTTGCTCTAGATTTTAATTATTTTTTTTTTTTTAATGCGGATGGCTCTAGTTAATTGATTGTTCTATGGACAGACAGATTTAGAGAAATACTCACAATAGCTCCATATCMACTAGCTGTGAGTTCTGGATTTTACATTTAGGTCTCTGAAGTGTTTCAATGATGAATAAAATTGCAAGCATAAGTAAATTTCCCTGTTTTCTATGCATCTGAGGAGGCTTCTAGCATAAGTTGGTTACAGCAGGTCTCTGGAATATTTTGCCTTTACAAAAAGAAGTAAAGGTAAACCCATCCTGCTTCAGTTATGTGCACTATCAATGCACTGAAATTCCACCTCTCTCTCTCCTCCAGAAGCAATGCCCTGTTCCAAATCAGTTGTGCACTGAGATACTGGGACTGTAGAAGGGTTTTTCTGCTTTTAAGTGAAGTTTGAGTGGTCTGTTGTGAGAAGCCTCTCAAATGCATAGGCTCTTTCATTTTCTGGGGCTAAATGTGCTGACCTTAGTCCAGAACCAATTGTCTCAGCATCGTGTTGGATGTGTGTCCTCCTCCTCCTCACATTACTGATGCCATTCTGTGTCACACTCCGTGTGTTTCTTCCCCAGTTCCTCCCAGTTATGCTTTTGCTTYGTTCTGTAGTCTGCTAAAATCCTTACCAAGTTTTCACACTATTTCCTCTACTCTTTCATGTAATCTGTATTTTAATGGTCCCATTCCSTCTCTCCCCCCATCCCCACTGTTCCCATTTTTATTTTCCTGTCCACTTTGTGAGCAGGACTGTTTCACATCACCATTTTCATTCCACTCTGTTTTCTTCTTTTRGTCAAGCAGTTTTCTGTTCTTCCCTGTAGAATTACCCTTTATGACTACCAGGCCATGTGTAGGACAAACAAAGAGAGYAGCGACAGTGCCCAAAGCTTACTGGACGTAAGTACAGCGTGTTTTATGAGCTCGTTTCCTCTTTTCATCACAGAAGATCCTTGCAGATATCTCATAGCCATTGTAAACCCTTTTTTTTTTTTCATTTGGAATGCTTGCAGCTCTTCTGTTTATGCCAGAGAACACAAAGGATGGTGCCTTCCCTGGCGCTGACYGAGTTCTTTGGGTCTGTGAGTCCCCAGCCCTGCACAGGACCTTCCTCTCTGGCCCCTGAACATTTTAAATGTCCCTAAAATTTAAAATATAAAGTTTTAAATGTTACTTGTCTGCCAACAGCTCTGCTTCCCTGAGTGCTGACTTGGTCAAGCATGATTTTCAATATCTGAGCACTGTCAGTATAACTTCTAAGTGTTAAATGTAACTAAAAGTCTGCAGAATTTTATGCAACTGGGACATCCTTACAAAGATGAGGGAAACAAGGAGAAATTCAACATTTCTGGAATCTGACTTTTCTGCCCGACTTTCTTTCATAAAGATTAATCCTATTAATAGTATTTTCAAAAATGAAATATTCAACATGTATTAGAAGTACTGTAAACAGAGGATTTTCAAAGGATTTGCTATATTTGTTRTGATGCAGAAAAACAGAGGGAGGAGGGAAAAAACTACTTAAAGTGCTTACAATTGGACTGTCAAATGACTCAGATAAACATTTAGGTAAATTCAGACTTCAGAGGCTTTTCTGAGCCTAATGAGGCTGAGGCAATGAATAGAGATTTGCATTTTAGAGAGGCAAGCCTGTGAATTRCAGCCCAAGAAAAGCTCATATTATCTACAAGCTGTTCCTCCAGCAATAGCCTGGGAAATAGGAACCCCTAGAGGTTAAAGATTTAAGAATCRTTTGCAAAGACTTTCCTTTTCCCACTGGTAATCTGTGTATATGACCAAGTACGATAAAAAGGAAATTTCATTACTACACCTTTTCATAATCAGTATAATAAAATTTCTTGTTAATAAAATTTTTTTTTTTCATGCTACCCATGTATTTTGAATATCCATAGCATTGTTTTTATATGAAGATTTCAGTTAAGATGTAAATGCTGCATGTTTTGCCCTGTTATTAAATGAGTTGCTTCTCTTCAGCCTTATAATGCCTTCTTTGCTGCAGTAAAGTGGATTATGACTGAACTTGTCTTGTAAGTAGATTTTTATCAAGAACTTAATGAATATTTCTATGAGGTACTGGATATTTGTGCTTTTGAATATTAATATTTGTACCAATTGCATTTTACATGCATTGTGCTGCTTTTAGTACATGATTTAAAATATAGTAGTATTTGTCATTTTTCTTTCTTTCCAACATTGAATTGTTAAAAGCTGAGAAAATTTTGGCTGCACAAATGCAGTTTCACTTTTATTGCTTTATTCATGGTCTTCACTTATATCTGCATGCCTTTGTTTAGCAGATCACAATACACAACCCACATTTCTTTTTGTGGTTRCTGTTAAATTTTAGATACTTGAGTGGCTGTTTGTGATGCCATTTGGGTGGGCTGCTTTCAGCAGAGAAACTTGTTACCCTGGCTCACTGTATTGTTTGTCATTCATAAAATTCTGTAAGATGGACCCTTTAGAGTACATGCCAGAAAAGGTGTACTCTGGATGTTGCTGAATTTTTCTGTCTTCRTTAGTTCTTCTAAAATTCCCACTTMATTCATAATGATCATTAYMTTYARGGKAAGGTRCCTAAGAAATAGGAATATCACATGGAGAGGGAGAAGCCTGAATGTTTTTAGGATATATGCTTTATTATTATTCTTATCAGAAAGCAGAGCTGTAGGTGTTTAAGAGAATTTTATCTTTACTGACATAGAACTGTATTTTCTTGTAGTCATTTCGTTTAATTGTAAATTGTATGAGTTTTGTTCAGAGCTCAGAATAAGAGTTAGGGAGGATTAACTCTGCTAGAGGGCAGGGATTGATCTGAAATTCAGCTTCCAAAGTGAATAAACGGAAAAAAAAAAGTGTTAAAATGAGAGTGATGCTACATATAACAGCTTTGAAAATGTCAAGAAACCTTCTGTATTTCTAAGTATTGTAGATTCATGGGCATATGATGAACTGGATGCTGTTTTCACATCCTTTACACTTAACAACAACTGATAGACTGACACTTTTCAGCCCATTCTTCCACGAAATTCATGGTGTATTTTAGTGGGAAAATGTTCTTTACAACTTAGTTAGAGTTGATTAGACAGTTAATCTCTTCTGCTCTTAGGAATAAAATGGTTTTATTATTTTGGTTTGAGAATTAATAGAAGGTATTTTATGTGTACTCCTGTATTGTAGACAGGACATTTATAATCCCATGGATTTTACTGGAGTTGAAATAACCAAATAATGAAGAGATAATGTTTCACAACAAAAATAGTGTGAATTCCCATGCTTTGAGGATTTTATATGGACACTTCAAATACAATCAGTGTTTTAAATAAAAAATAGGTAAATCTATGATTTATCGATGGGGTTTATTTCAGAATAAGCTTTCAAAGTAAAAAAAAAAATCAGTAAAAATATGAGAATAGCAGTAGTCACTAATTCCAGGGTTACATCAGTAGCTTGAATTTCGGTTCTATTGTAGCTTTTATTTAAAATAGGATTAACATTATCAAGCTGCTGCCAGTTTTATGTTTTGAAAACATTCTGCAGGGTGATATGAAAACTCTAATAATTTCTCTAGGTTCCTTGTGGAATTCAATCTATGCAGTTGGTGGCACTCTGATCTAACAGCTAAAGGTAAGTGTAATTTTTTTCCTGGCATGATGGCAGAAATGTCTAGAGTAAACTGAACTTTTGAAATTCACATGTGTGTACACTGTTTTAGATTAAGTAATAAACATCTGATAATAATTTTCCTCCCATGTAAGCATCCTTTTCTCTGTTAATGTTTCCTAAAACAGGRGAGAATTAAGATCTTCTATGAATAACCACAAAATGCTTGTGTGCACTCTAGGATCGTAGTAAACTACTAAACTGTAAAAGTTAAAATAGTAGATAATAATTAAATATGTTTTTTAAAAACATTTCCCTTAATTCCAAAACAATCTTTGGCAATAAAGTGATTACACTGACCTTTTTCTGTTGTACAGCTTTTTTTTTTTTTTCTTCAATAGAGCTGCTATAAAGTTGGGATTATTGTGCTGGAAAATGCCTTTTTWAAAAAAGTGTACAGAAATATGACCATCTCAATATAATTTCATAAAAAATAATTTTTACAGATTAAGATAGTCGATTTTATTTTAACCAAGGCTGATTATAACCTGATTTTGTTTTATCATTCCATTCAAAATTGAGATTTAAATGAATTAAAATTTAATTTACTCAAGATATTTTTCTTTAATGCAGGAGCTTCACTTGAAATAATGGAAATTTTTAATAGTTCCACTAAGAATGGGAGTTTTCAGTGTAAGCTGTCTGTTTATATTTCAGCAGCCTTTTTATGGCTTTTTCAGAAGTGTTGCTCAAAAGCAAAGGGCGTTTTTACAAGAGCAGTGYTCTTCAAGTGACAATTTAATGGGCAAATTGTGCTGTGTGTCACTGGCTGGTGTAAGGGTTTAAAATGAATTCTTCAGCTTCACATCTGAATATTCCTTAGCCAAGCAGGGGATWAAATTGCTGCTTTTCAGCTGAGATTTGCATTACCTGGGTACCAGGCTCTCTTCATTCCAGAATATTATCTTGTCTGAAGGTATCAGTCAGGCTCCTAAAAACCAAGAGCAGCTGTCCAGTGATTTCCCTAAACTTGATTGAAAAGTCTCTGAGGCTGTGAGGGACAGTCAGGCTGGTTCTGCTAGACCCAGAAAATGCAAAAGTGTTCTTTGARGAGTGACAGCTGTGCCAGTCTGAGTCCTCGGTGTTTGCAGAACACCCAGAGCAACCAGTGGAGGAAATAATTTTTTTTCAAGCATGCTGTACAAATATGCCTCAATACTTCCTAACGTGAAACATCCAGTGGCACTTGCATTGTATGTTAGAGAAAATATCTTTCAACCACAGGACCTCTCTTCATCTCATGAAAATGGATGTCTGATTTGTATTTTCATTGTAATTCTGCACTTATTGCAGAATAGGCATTAATAACTTGCAAACTTCCTTTTGTTAAAAACAAAAGTGCAGCACTTTTATGGACAAGCATGATGGAGGAATTTCCATTCATGCTTTAGTTAACAGTGAAGTTTTAATTACTCAAGTCACAYGCTCCATTTCTTTGATGAGTTAAGAGTATTGGAAATTTCCCCCATCATGCTCATTGGAGTGTTTTATCTTTTGTGGTGGTGCTTGCCCAGCTCATATTTGGTCAGGTAGCAAGGGATGGCTGTKTTTGGAACCAGCATGTTTCAGGATGCAAAAGCAGGAGATTTTCACAAGARAGCAGTGGAGAAAAGCACATGCTTAGGTTTATTCTTCTGTAGATGTTATTTACCACTAAGAGTTGTAATATTTATGACTGCACTTAATGCAATTATTTTTAACTTAACAATGCTTAASAAAACTCAGAAGATCAGTTCCTCCAGCAGGGAAATTGCTTCCCACTCAAATTTTGACATTAATAGAATATGACAAATCCTGAACATGCTGGAGGGACCACACRCACCTGCCCATTTGCCCTACTTTGGAAAATACTTCTGCACAAGATCACGTAATTTCAATCACATTTGTAAATGAGAGAGAAGAAACCCTAAAACTTGGACAAYCTCATCATCTTCTGGACTCGAGCGAGGGGCAGGAAATCTGAGGCCAATGAATCTCTGTCAGTCTCTTTGTTACACGAGCCATGTGTTGGTGMAAGTGAGGGTAGACTCAAAACACAGGTGATAAATTCCAGTCATTCTTGACAACAGATAATCAGAACAGAAGAGAAAGGGAAGARGTGTGGTAGAACTAATTTTCTAAAAAATACTGATTTATGAAGTAAGTCATGACCATAGTGAAAAAACATCAGAAATAGCAAAACTTTTCTGATCAAATTTAGTACCTCCTCTGAGATCTGTTTGTTTTTGGGAGAACAATTCTTTTTGTTGTATTCAGAACCTGTGAACAGTTCAGAAATGCATGTCCTGGTGTGTGATTGCAAATGCAGATGTGGCCTCTCCCCTGGCCCTGCTCAGTGGATGSACCACTCACCCCAAACAGATCATCTCCAGTGGAAGATCTGTCGAGCCCTGAGCCTGTTCAGTGTCACCTATTTTTGTCATACCCCATCTTGTTTTCTCACTTAACAATTAGTTTAAGATAGGGCTAACATTTGTGCTGATGTGCAAAGAATATCTCTGTGTTGAAGAACAATGAAGGGGTGGGGAGGAGAAAGAAAKGGAATGAAGGAGAGACATTGTCTGACAGATTCTTCAGTGTGAGAGTCAGAGGAGCTGCCTTCGGTTCCCAGCTTTGCTCTGTCCTGCAGTTTGACCTTGAACCAGCCTCTGCTTCCTGCTGCCTCAGCTTCCCAGTCTTCAAAATGGAAATAGGGGCTTTTTCCTTGCACTGCAAAAACTTCAGAGCAAAGGTGTTATGGAGTCTTAATTGTTACTAATTTGGGAGACTTTGCTGTTGGGTAAAGTAACTCTTCTGCCTCTCCCACCCCCAGACTTATTTTATCTGATAAAGATAAAACCCTCCAAAGATTCCCAGGATGTAATACAAAATAGATGTTTTGGTTTCAGTAAAACACACCACAATTTACATATCAAATAAGTTGTAAACTCCTATGAATAAATGTTAGTGATGCRCAGCACACAGATAAAAATGACAGTAAATCCAGCCTGAATCTCCACGGAAAGAGTAAAAACTCATGAATAAGTGTAAAGTAGGCTGGCAATGGCTAAACCATTAATAACTACTTTAACAGTGATCTCCTACAAAATTACATTCCATGGATAAACTTTTTCTTTTTTTTTTTCAATTTAATTGTAAAAATAGTGTTATGCACTGCCTAGGAAATCTCACAGGGTGGCAGAAGCTGAGTAACATTCCCATTCTCCGCGAGCTCCGTAGTGCAGCATCTCATGTTGTTCACAATTTTCTGTGCTGTTCTTCCCCTGTTAACATCAAGATGGTTTTTTTTCCTATAGCGCAGAGGCTGAAACAAACCCTAGAGCCCTGTGATACAGAATATCCAGCCTTTGTTTCCGAGCGCACTATAAAGGAGACCACRGGGAATATTGCTTGCGATGACTGTTTCAAGTAAGCCCTTTCAATTTTTTTTTTATTTTTTTTTTAAATACAACTATTTGTGACAAAGCAATAAAATTGAATTATTCAAGGCTGTGCTGAAGAACGTCCGAGTCTGTTGTGTTTTATCCTGTGTGCTGACCTCTGTCAGGGTGTCAATTCTCCTATTACAGGGGTCRCTTAAAAGTTTGATGCTCTGAAATTAAAATTGCCTGTTATTTTGTACCAAAAAATGTAAAAGTTGTAGAGGTTTWCGTTAATTTCAAATAGGGAATGTTTAAATTATTTTCCTAAATGCAGGCAGCATTCTAAGGGCATGGTCTTTAAGATTTAGATTCCAAAAGGTAAGTGCTGTTCAGTCTCCTGCGCAGGACTGAAGCCCTGCTGAATGGGTTCGGAATTCCCTTGTGGTACAGTGAGATCTGGCTGCTTTACTGGAATGCCAAACAGAGTTTCCTTCTTCGAATTGTCAGTCTGAACAAGTGGGAGAAGATTAAATCTWTTCTCCAAACTTTCAGTGCTGGGAAGCTGAGTTAATAACAACAAATCTCTCATGACAGTGCTGTAATGTCAGTTCTACCAGTGCTGCTGTGAAATTGTCCCTGATAGAACTAAAAGAAGAGGAAGACCTCAGTCTAGCTTTCCTCTTTCACACTGAAAATTTGTTTTCCCTGGTTTTGGTGCCCAGGTGCTGTGAGATTTTGGCTGTAGTTCTGGTCCATTTTGATTGTGGAATTGCATAGGTGTTTTTTATGCAAATTTCTGTACTTTGATAAGTCTTTTAATTGGATTTCCTTTGTGCTGAGAGGTTTTCATTTCCAGGGAGATTAGTATTTACAGCAATAATTTGTCCATCAATATAAATGTCAGTAAGAATTTATGAGTTAAACAAAAATTGTTACAACTCTTCCTTTCCAGCCTAAACAATATGCAATTAGCAAATAAAGGTGAAAACTTCACTTTGAAGTCAATAGGTGTGCTTCTGGACTTACTCCTAAATTTTCTCCTTGATATTTTCATTACTTTAAAACAGGAAATAGGAGTAAGTACACTGGAGATAAATTTTAAGTGCTAATACTCACTTTTCATTTGCTACTGACCAACTTTTAAGTAGAAGGAAATTGCTAATGTCTAGTATGAATAATTGGTTTTATATGGCTTTGTGGAATAGAAGTATGAGAGTGCTTTGTAAATTGATGCTCTGGAACCCTTTAAGTGCAACAATAGGTCCCACAGCCCGAAAAGTACAAACTCAACAAAACCAAGCCGTGATTTTTCCACTTGACATACCAAACACAATGAAGGTTACACTGCTATGAGTGCTTTGTGCCAGCATTGTGCAACATAAGCAGCCTTATTTTGTGATAATTTAAAAGAAGGTTATTGAGAAGCTGTGAAATAAATTATCTTGCATCTCTGGAGGTGTTCAAGGCCAGGTTGGATGGGGTTTTCAGCATTTTCAGCACCTTGGTCTGGTGGAAGGTGTCCCTGCCATGGCAGCAGGGCTGGAAMCAGATGGTCTTTAGGTCCCTTCAAACCCAAACCATTCTGTGATTCTGTTTAAATATTGCAAACAGGCACAATTCCATGAAAAGAAGATTAATTTAACAGGACTAGGTTTTCTCCAAGGAACGCAGATTTCAGTCTGTGTTCCTAGGTAACTTCAGGTCAAAGGAAATAAGTTTCAAAAATAATACAATTCTGCAATACTTGGAAAGCACCAAGTTGGAAACTGAGTTTAGTGAAAATTATAGTATTTCAAAAATGATGCACTAAGATCTTTTTCATAGAAAAACATTTTGTGTTCCACAGTGGAAAAAAAAATAAAAGAAAACCCTGTAAGCTGCAAACTGATCTCAAGGCACCCATTATTTTTCTCCACAAGCAACGGCAAAACCTAAAGAAATAATCCAGAAGAACTATTAGATTCTCWTGGGAAAGTTGTTCGTTATACCGTTTACCCACTGTCATTAACAATCTACAAATTGTATCTAAGATTGCAGACTGCACTGGATTCCAAATATTTTTGTTATAACCCAGGACACTTTCCCGCAGAACAGCTAAGGAATTTGACCCAAAGTCCTTTGTAGACCTACATCTTCTGACCCAGTTTTCTGTTTCACAGCCTCAGTACCAATAAATATTTCTACAAGCAAGCATGTTGCTTAATATTTGTAATTTAAGGATGATGGGCTCAGTCAGTCAGAATTTAGTTTCATTTTTTCCTGCAGCGATCTGGAAGTGACCCTGTGTCCAGTGTAACCTGTGCAGCATCACTTTTGGGATTATTTTCTGTATCCTCCTTGGATAACGTTCTAGGTTAATCTGTGACATATAATCACAAATATTTACTGCAAATAGAAAATATTGTAAATATTTGCCTGATCATGCACCCTGTGGGATATTTAAAACCTGTTTGAAAGACACTAGAAAAGTCAGTATATTGTGATCAGATTTGCAAACAAAAGTTGTGCAAATACTCTGCTTTAAGCAAGTTTGTGTCAAAAGCTACTCCAGTCACTGAATTTGTTCCTACAGTGYCAGGCACTACCAAAGAGCCCTTGTCTGAAAAAGGAGACTAAAAACAGTCTCTYAGTGGAAGTAGAAATGATGATTTCATGTTAATTGAAACCATATAATGTTTCTTATCTGAGACATTGTGGGGCACAAATGCTGTGTTTTTGCTAACAAAGTCACAGCCAGCAAGGTCACAGAGTGAGGGGCAGAGGCTCAGTTTGATTCTCTCCTGGGTGTGTTTTACTGATGCTCCAGAAATGCTCTGCACCTCAGCTGCTGCAGKAAAGAAAATTCATAAATGTTTCCARTCATAAATTTAACCATGGGTGCTTGGATTTAAGTTGAAGTATCCCCAAATAAATCACACAGTAGAAAGCCTGCTAATCATTTAATTAACAGCTGCCTCAGGTTTTTTCAGCCATCTCTGGGATCTCAGTCAATGGAAGGACACCATACTCTCAAGCAGGATTTGAGTCAGGCWCTAAATATATACAGACATATAAAATGCATTCCCTATATGTAAAGTTATCTCCTACTAGCAAAAAAATAAATGCTACCTTGGGATAAAATGCAATGTTTAAAAACGATTTTCAAAAATATAGGTTTTATTAAGAAAGCAGGAGCCTAAAAGAAAATAAGAATTAACATAAGAATGTCATTAGGGTCAGGGTTTGGCTGTCCCACCCTATAATTTGTTGTTATTCAATATCCCAATGATTATTAAATTAATCTGTTATTTTAACAGCAATCAAAAACAAGTCAACCCACATTTTCTAAGCACTGTCAACAAGAGAGAAAAACTARGATTTTTGGAGAAATCTGAAATGCTTTCATATTTTCCAGTAAGCGATTCACTTTTATAGCAAAAAACCTAAAAAAACCAAAACCCCATTACTTCTGAAAACTCATATGATAGACTGTTCAAAGTTCTATCACAGTTTCAATGTTGGTAGTTGCTAAAGAGAATTTTTTTTTTTTTAACAATCTCAACTCGCAGTCTTTCCATGGAGCCAGAACTACACCAATGACAAATGCATTTGGTAAGGGCTTTAAAGGTGCTGTGCTGCTCAGAGATGAGCATTTGATTCRACATCAGGCTTGAACTTCAATGCTGCTTGGAGTTTTATGAAGTATTGCCCCAATATTTTAGCCAATTTTAAATACAAGTGTGCCAACCAATGTTCTCTGGCAATGCTCACTGGGTACATCACCAGCTTTTCCTTCTGGGCATCTCATCATAACAAATTTTAATTCCACTTAAAGTCTCTGAGGAAAGCATCCGTAGAATGTCAAAGTTGTAGTTATAAATTAGAGAGGATCATGGGTGTTATGATATTTGATTAGAAAATGTTTGCCAATCTATTTAGTATAGCCTCTCATCTATTTGTAGAACAAACAAAAAATGGTTTTGTGTAATTGGAAATCTCATTTATGCATGAAAATTTGCATGTTTTCATTAAGCTTCATTTARGAAAATATCATTAATTTCATCTATAACTCAGGTTGATATGAATGTGATATAGCAATTTAGTCATCTATCTATACTTTAAGTATATCTGTTAAAATTTCAAAGTTGCAAGGAGCCAGTTGAGTGCATAGTTGCCAAATTTTGTGTGTTCATTGCAAAAACTGTGGGTGTACAAATCAGCAGCAGTTGCACAGTCAAATGCTTAAAAATCTGCCCTTTTAACCTCTCCTGTTCATGTGTGATGACATATTGGACTTGGATGAAGATCAAAAATCTGGCCTTACTTCCAAAAAATCCCCCTTCTCTTTTAATTGCAGCACTCATGGGTCYACGAGGTCAATACCAAAACCCCAAAGAAACTGTTTTGTTTCCAGTTGATTCTTTGTTCACAATTTTAAGGYACAAAATAAAGGGAAAAGTAAATATAAGAAACCCATATTCCCATTAGGAAAGGAAGGAAGGATGTAGGTACAATGATCCCAACCCTGGGAACGATTCCTGTGTTTTAATTATGCAAGATCTGAAAGATGAATGTATTTACTTTACCTTGTTGGGTATCACATGTAAATTGCTGTTCAAATGGAGAGGAGCTACTCCTTTGAACAAACASTGTTATTATGTATTTGTCCCAATGAAGTGTTAGCAAGCAGACATTTAGTTAACRAGGAAAATCATCAATAAACCAAATTGCTACTCTTGCTTTCTCATAGCCTGGGCACTGAATGCTGTTTATTGTCAATAAAAGAGGTAAATGGCARTGGAAGCGTGGTTCAGGATGACACTGAGCCCTTCGTGTGGATTCATGATGGCAAATTTCAGACTTGTCCCCTAAATGGATGGATTTGGCTGTAACRGATAAATAACAACACAAATTAGATGCAGATTGTTCAGGGCAGGAGTACATTAGTGTCAGGAATAGTGCAATCTGCAGACATTAAAATGGTAATGGTTTTTAAAACCCACTTAATCTGGAGACAGACCACCATTTGCTAAAATATTTCCGCATTTCATTCTCAGGAGAAGCTTG